TTGATTGATTCAGATGCCAAATAAGGCCCACATGTTATATTTGATGCTATTGTTTATTGATGTTTTTAAGCTATAGATTTCTCAGCTCTCTTTTTTTTAATATTTATTTTTTAGTTATAGCTGGACAAAATTTCTTTATTTTTATGTGGTGCTGAGGATTGAACCCAGTGCCTCACGCATGCTAGACGAGCATGCTAGGCAAGTGCTCTGCCTCTGAGCCACAACCACAGCCCCATCTCATCCCTCTTTTTTAAAAACAAGTTTATTGAAGTTTATTTGTTGAAGAACATGAATCATTTGTCCTGTATAATCTTCCATGTAGGATGTGAAAAGTAAAAGAATTGAGGATGATGCTAAGTTATTTTTGGAGAGCAAGAAAGGATGAAGGTGTCATTAATTCTATAGGAAAAGATTTTAAGAGAGATAATCAGGAGTTCAATATAGGGTATTTTAATTATGAGATGTTTAACAAATAGATCAAGCAAAACAACAGAGTAAAGTCTTTAGTTCAGGGCCAACGTCTGGGCTGGAATAAGAATGTGGGGTATTTAGTAGTGCAAGACGTGAGATCTCTAAGAAACAGAGACTTAGGACACTCCAACTTTAATGGGGAAAGATAACCCAGTGAGATTTTGTTGAATGTGTCCCTATAGTGTTATTTACCATGTTCCTCTATCTTTCATTCTTGAGACTGGAGTTAGATCCAGGGGTTCATTTTATCTTTCACCCACCTAAGGCAAGCTTTCCTTGCCATCAGGTCACAAAAAGTTCTCTTATCATGGTTTCCCACTCCCATTCATCCTGCTAAACCCAATAGCCAATTCTCAGTCCAAATTCTACTTGATTACTGGGTTTTGACCCAGATGGACAATCTCTTCTCCTTGAGGCTCTCTTCACTTCCTAACCCTCTCATCTGGTTATCTGTCCCCATTAAATTGGAGTGTCCTAAGTCTCCATTCCTTAGAGATCTCACATATCACACATGACTAAATACCCCACATTCATGTTCCAGCCCAGATACTGGCCCTGAACTGAGGACTTTATCCAGTTGTTTTGCTTGATCTATTTGTTAGACATCTCACAATTAAAATACCCTATATTGAACTCCTGAATGTCTCCTAAAATCTTCTCCTATAGAATTAATGACATCTTCATCCTTTCTTGCTCTCCAAAAATAACTTGGCATCATCCTCAATTCTTTCAGTTTTCATACCCTACATGGAACCCACTAGCAATTCTTTTTGGCTATACCTTGAATATATTATATATTCAAAACTCAGCTAACCACCAATCATCCCTTCTGCTTCTGTCTTCTTCCAACCTACCGTCATATCCTGCAACAGGCTCTGGACTCTGAACTGGTCTTTTTATTTCCATCTTTGCCTTTCTTCAGTACATATGCTGCTTGACTTACAATGGGGTCATAATCCAATGAACCATCATAAGGTGAAAATATCAGAAGTGTAAAATGCACTTACTACTTCCAGCCTACTAAACCTCATAACATAGCAGTACAGCACTGTAGACTGTTGGTTGTTTCCCCCTTGTGATCACGGGACTGATTGGTAATTGCTGCCACCCAGCATCATGAAAGAGGTTTGGACTTTTTTTTTTCCCAGGCACTAGCCTGGGAAGAGATCCAAATTCAGACTTCCAAGTTTTATTTCAACTGAATGCCTTTTGTTTTTGTACCATCACAAAGTCAAGCCATCATAAATCGTGTATTTTTAAGAAAACAACTAGAAAGTTCCTTTTAAAACTTAAATCAATTCATGTCTTTCATATAAAACATTCTGTCAGTACTCATCTCATACATATGAGTAAATATCTAAATCCCTCTATGGTCTCTGAGACACTATGTATGTAACCAGTTCACCTTCCCTTCCAACCTTTGGACTTCATCCCTTACCCGCCCTCTCCTTCCACCTCCACTGCAGCTGCCCATCAGACTTAGTCATTCTCTCCCTGCCAAGAACACTTTTCTTACAGATATACTCATGGCTTGGCCCTTTACCTTCTTCAACTCTGCTAAAATGTTACCTTGCCAGTGAGTCATTCCCTGGTAGTACTTATAAAATTTCTCTGCCTCCCAGTTTCTACTTCCTACTTTTATCCCTCTTGTCATTTTCTTTTTTTCCCTTAGCACTTTTACTTATTTACAATAAACTAGGCTTACAGCCCACTCTAAGCTCCTGGCATCCGGCTATAGAATAGTGCCTGACACATAGTAGGCACTCTTTACCTAGCTCCGGAGTAAATCACTGTTGCCTTCATCTTCACTCCATGGGAAGAGCTTGCTGACCATTATCTAGTGTTTGTCATTAAGGCATGTCAGCGTTTTTGTTGTCAACAACTAACATTTATCAAGCTGTACAATGTGCCAGGAATACAAAGGTGAGCAAGATAGTTCCCAGTGCATAGAGCTTACCTTATTGAACGAACAAAAAACAAGTTCATATTGTGGACAAGTGTTGCTTTGCCCCTACTTCCCTGTACAAAACTTACTGTGATTTTTACTCATGCACTTAGATATCCTTTATGAAATATCTAACAATTCACAACGAAAAAGAGGAGTGTTCAATCTCCCAGACCTGGAGATTAAGATGGAAGTGAGATCTTGCACTGGTCATTTTCTCCCTGTATTCAGTCCTACATATGCCTATACATGTCCTGCTTCACCCAGCTTCCCTACATTAATATGGTACAATGTGTTACAATTAACGAACCATTACATTATCACCCACTAATAGTGTTTATTAATAGTTAATTAAAAGTAATATCTTTTTAAATTCTGATCTCCATAGTTTTTACCTGATGTCCTTTTTCTGTTCCAGGATGCCAAATCACATTTACAGTTTTCTCTCTATAAACTTGAGTTCCACATCTGTTGATTCAACCAACCATGGATTGATAATATTTGCAAAAAAAAATTGTGCCTACACTGAACATGTAACAATAACATTCCTTGTCATTGTTTTCTAAACAATATAGTATAACAACTATTTACATAGCATTCACATTGTGTTAAGTATTATAAGTCATCTAGAGATGATTCCTGAAGATGCACATAGATTGTATGAAAATATTATTCCATTTTTTGTAAGGAATTTGAGCATTCTCTGAGCTGGGAGAAAGGGATCCTAGAACCTATCCCTCATTCATACCAAGTGACATCTGTACTTGTCATTTCCCTTTTGACTCCTCTGTGACATTTCCTTAGACTTTCCTTGCTTTTGATGACCTTGACAGTTTTGAGGAATACTAGTCATGTAGTTGTCGAATGTCCCTCTGTTGAGATTTGCCTAATATTTTTCTCATGACTAAGCTGGGGTTGTGGTAGGAAGACCACAGAAGTAAATTTTCATTCTCATCACATATCAAGGTATCACAACATACTTTCATTATGATTCATTGCTGTTGATATTAACCTTGACCACCTGGCTGAGCTAGTGGTTCAGTTTCCTCCACGGCTAAGTTATTCTTTTGTTTCCTCTTTCCATACTGTACTCTTGGGAAAGAAGTTGGTTTGCATAGGGTGGAAAATGATGTTCCATTTCTCTGAGGACAGTGTAGCTAAATATATTATTTGGAATTCTTCCGCAAGGGAAATGTGACTTTTCTAACATTTATTTATTTATTCAAACATTTATTTTTATCAGTATGAACTTTTGAATATTCTATAGTTTGTATTATAATAAAAAAAACTGGCTCAATTTATTCCAGTTTTAGCCATTGGGAGCTCTTCTAGTGGTTTCTTGTATCCCTTTGATGTATCTTATCAATTTTTGTTTTGTTTTGTTTTTTAACATTTTTTTTTGTTTGTTTTTGTTTTTTAACATTTACTTGCTGGTGCTACAGACTGCTCCAGGCTTATCTTATATGGCTCAGCTCTAGAATTTGTCATTTCTCCAAGGAGTACTGCTTTCTTTTATTGGAGAATAGTATTAGAAATCAAGAATTGGACTCTAGATGTGTTCTGTACATTTGTCTTTAACCCTTTGAACAATCCCATATGTGCTCTTTATGATTCGTTTATCTTTTTATTTTCCAATAAGTCTGAAGCAGTGGGTGAAGAGTAGGGGTTAAGTGTAAGGACTCAAGAGACCTCTTGGCTTCATCTCTTAGCTCCAGCATGGATAAGTAATTCTTCTGTGCCTCAGAGGAAATAATGATAGTACATACATTGTAAGGTGTTATAAAGACTAAGAGAGGTAAGACCTGAGTGTTTAATGGTGCCGGCACCTAAATCCATACTCATGCTGTTGTGGTGGCAGTTAATTATTTGAAGACGACAGCAAATACACTCATCTTTCTACATTTATGGGAGATTGATTCTAGGACGCCCATGGTAACAAAATCTGCATATGTTCAAGTTGTTTTTATACAGTGGTATAATACTTACATAAAACCTAAATGAATTTAAATGCCTAGTAAAATGTAATGTAACTTGTGGTTGTTACTGCATTGTTTAGAGAATAATGAGAAGAAAAATGTCTACATGTTTAGTACAGATGTAGTTTTCTTTTTTTTTTTTTTCCTCTAAGTATTTTCAATCCGTGGTTGGTTGAATCCTCAGATGTAGAACCTAGGGATACAATGGCTGGCTGTACTCTCTCTCTTGTTCAAGTTAGGTGACTTGCCTAAGACAGTGGTCAAATGGGGGTTCAACTAAGGACCTTTTGCCTCATGTCACCCTGCTACCTCCCGACTGTAATTTTTTGTTTCAGTGCACGAGCACATGATGAATACTTGACATACCGCCGCATTCCCTGTGGAATACTGATCTTGGCACTTGTGTTGGGGGCTCAGGAGTTCCTGGGTAGAAACAGATAACATTTTAAACAAATACAGTTATCAAGATGTGCACTTTAAAGAGATTTATCAAATATTGTAGGAATGGGGTGCTGTATAATTTTGAAAAGTTTCTTCTGGATTAAGAATGAAAAGATGTTCAGTTATTAAATTAATTTTAATCATTTCTTAATTTTCTCTCCCCGTAGTGGACTCATTGGACGAAGCTGGGCTATGTTGTTTGCCAGTGGAGGCTTCGAGGTGAAACTCTATGATATTGAGCAAGAACAGATAACAAATGCCCTGGAAAACATCAGGTAGGCGAGCTGACGCTTTCTGGGAGGAGTTGGAATGGTCCTGTTTCTTTTAGCTGGTCTTGTTTATCAGATTCTCAAGGTTATAAATATCTGTGATTGTACATTTTTCATTTGATAACAGCTTTTGGAGTGCCTCTGAACCAACAGAGGTCAGGTGTAAAGTGGCTAGAATGTGAAGTTAGACTGGAAAGGAGACTTCCATTGTTAGGAAAGGCCCATTCAGATTGAAAAGATTTAAGAGGGGGGAAAAGAGGAGCTGAATGTAAATGTCAGGACTTAATCCCAATTGAGTTGGGGACTTCCTTACTATGTCACACAGGGGTAGAGAGCTGGGACTTTTTCCTGTTCCCTCTATAGGATAAGCCAGGGTCCAGCAGGTCAGAGCTTCATGGGCATTACCTTTTAGGAACAGAGATTCTAAGCATTGTTTTGACCTATTGATCTAAAAATGGTGGTAGGCCCCAGATGAAAACATCCTGAATTTTAATTAGGGTTTAAAACTCAGGTGAGAGGACAGAACTGTAGTCACTCTTGTGGGTGCTAGTAATTGTGACAACTGTACTAGTTAAAGGCATGAGAGTGGATGAACTTACCAAAAACTGAGGACTGAGTTCGAGGAGTAGAAGTCACAGTGGGCAGAAGAAGTATAGGAACCAAAGACAGAGGCCAAGAATAAGGGAGGTCAAAGATACAGGAACCAAACTAATGCAACCTGCCAGGAGAACTCCCTCGCTGCTTGGCTCATCTCCCTGCGATGACCTTCACTGAATGAATCTGACCATTTCAGACATAGTTTGGTTTAGCTAGTTATTATCCCTCTTTTTAGGATATTTATGAATATGTAACTTGAATTTGCCTTTTTGTGTAACCAAAATATGCTTGCTTTATCTAAGGTTACCTTTGAAAAGATTAATGTATGACATGATATCAGGTTATAAGAATTAAGAAATCATATATGCTGCCCGGCTTTATTGTGTTACAGACTCAGAACCTGAACCCAGAGAAGTACCTTCTTTTTAAAAAAATATTTATTTTTTAGTCATAGGTGGACACAGTGTCTTTATTTTATATTTATGTGATGCTGAGGATTGAACCCAGTGCCTCACACATGCTAGGCGAGTGCTCTACCTCTGAGCCACAATCAGCCTGAGAAGTACCTTCTTATGTATAGTTATAAAGAGTCCATGCCAAGATAAAATGCCAATCCAAAAAATAAAAATCAGACAAACAAAAACCAAAAAGTAAAGCAGCCAGCACAAAACCACTCACACAAACTACTGTTTTGGAAGGAAAGTTGCTTGGCATTTCAGTGCCTATTACTTGTCAGGGATGTGCTATTTACTAGGGATATGTAGGCAGATGATGTATACATAGCCATGGAACTTACATCCTAGTAATCCTTTTTGTTCTGTTTTGAGGCACTGGGAATCAAACCCAGGACCTCGTATGTACTAGACAAGCGATTTACCACTGAGCCACATCCCCTACCCATACTCAATAATCTCAATCTTAAAATAAACTCTAGGAGACATGTTATTGCCATAATTTTATGAGAAAATATAGGTTATATGAGAGATTAGGAACCTGTTCCATAGACATAGGATTCACTCTAAGACATGATTCCAGCCCTGGTCTGTCTGACTTCAAAGACATGTTAAGCATCTTCAACATCCATTTATACCATATGCTTTATAGAGATTCTTCAAACAATACTTTTAATATAATATTTGGCACATGCAAAAGAATAGATCATATAAATAAGTTTAGGAAGAAGAATAATGAAATAATTATCCATGACCCTCCACCCAACTTAAAATTTAGAACATTACCAATACCTTGTATGTACCTTTTGGATCTCATCCCTCTGACCTCCTATCAGAGGTAAAAAATATTATTTATTTGTATTTACCATTTTCCTTGTCCTAAAAACACTTATATACATGTCCCTCAATAACATACTGTTTAGTTTTGCTTTCTTTTGTGTTTTATATGAATATTGCTGAGATCCACCCAAGTTTTTGCTTATAGCTCTAGTGCATGTATTTTTACTGCTATACCATATTCTGTTGTGTGCATTTTCTATAAATTTTTTGTTTGTTATCCTCTTGGAATATTATAGCTTTTCCAAGTTTAGGCTATTGTAAATAATGTTAACTATTAATATTCTTATATTTTTGTATATTCTATGTTTCTTATTATTTTTCTTGTATATTCTGTGTTTCCTAATGTATAAGTGCAGGAGTTTCTATAAGTACATACCTAGCAGGGAGACTACTGGGTCTGTTTTACCTGAAGGAGTTCTGATAACCTAGATATCGGACCATCTCTTTCTACCTTCATTTTTTTTATGTTATAGTAGTATCTTTATTGACTTGGAAAGACATTTATGCTGTATCTTCTTTTGGGGAGGGGTATGAATTCTTATTTTTCCACTTGTACAGATTGCAGTATCACATTGGTTGTACAGCCATGTTTATACATACAGCCATACTAGTGTCTACCTTCATTTTAAAAAACTTTTATTTCACATTTTCTCTCTCCCTATGTACACAGTTGTTACACTGTATTACTTAGGGAAATTTATACCATGACAAGGAAAATGTATGTGTTCAGTGACAGGCAAAAAAATTTTTTTTTCCAGTTACTTTCCATCTGCAGTTGATTGAGTTCAAGGTTGCAGAATCCACAGCAGGGAGGAACAACTAGGCTTTGTTAAATTCGTCTTTGAATTTTGCATTAAGTATATAAGAACTTTATAAGCTCCCATTAAGAAATGGTTAGTTGGTGAAACTGCTTGTGCCTTGTATACTTGGGTGAAAACCCTGGCTTTTCTGTAGGCCTGGACTTGATACTGTTTTTTTGGTGATGCTGTTTGTGGTTGATGGGTCTGAAGCTGATCGACATTAGATTAAGCCCAGTGTTGGAGAGAGGGTAACCTAGGGAAGAGGAGACCAGGAGTCTCTCCTTAAGCCAGGCTTTAAGCAACCCCATGTGGCCTCCAGGCCAAGACTGGGTAAGCTTTTTTTTTTTTTTTTTAGAAAGCAGGTAGTAAACTTGTTAGGCTTGGGGGGGAGGGTCACATGGTCTCTACCTCAACTTCTGATTGTGGAGTAAAAGCACTCAGAGATAATCTCTAAACAAATAGGTCTGGCTGTATCCAAATAAAACTTTATGAGTTAATATTGACCTTAGGAATTCATTTACTCTTCATATGTCACAAATTATTATTATTATTTTGTTTTTCCTTTAAGAATTTAAAAATGCAAAAACCACCCTCTTTTTATAGGCCATAGGAAAACAGGTGGAGAACCAGACTTTTCTTGCAGGCTAATAGGCTTTTCAGTTCTATTATCATTTCATCTTATGCTTTGTCAGTTCGGTTTTAACTCACTTGTAACTAAGGGAAAGCCAAAGGTTCCTAATTGAAAAGTTATTTGTTTTATTTCTTGGTATATTTGTATGTTAGGCTTTATTTTTTAGGTGTATCATTAAAGGTTTTTGTTATTTTTAAAGACCTTTCAGGTATCACAGAGTACATGATAGGTTGTGGGAAAGGTTTTTTTTTTTGTTGTTGTTTGTTTGTTTTACCCCCTTTTTTCAGAGCTGAGGATGGAAACCAGGGCCTCATACTTGCTAGGTAAGTGGTGTATCACTGAGCCATACACCCAAACCCCTGTTTTGCTTTTAAAACCTGATTTAAGGCTTATATAGTATTCTACTACTTTGCTTAGTTAAGAACTGTTTCTTAATATTTCTAGTGCTCAATTAGAGTAAACTTTTAGATATCTGTAAAATATTTGAACCAGAAAAACCAAAACAATTATTACTATATCAGCCATGTTGTAGAAGGAGCAAAAGTACTGAATTCCTGTGCATATATAACTCTTTCCTCAAGAAAAGGGCCTTATTTATTTACTTTTTTATAACTCACATTTGAGTTTAATTGGCTTAAATATGTAGAACTGGTTGTACTTCTTTGGTAGGGATCTTATGTTATCTTGTGACCCACTACCTTTCTCCTCAAATTATAGTTAGCAAATACCTTCAGGGAAATCAGATTGAGTTGTATTGTATTGCACCCTTAGAGAACATTGAATTTTCAGTTTTTGACTTTTAAGCAAAGCTACCTGCTTTCCTCTTTGAATCACATGATTATCAAATGAGCCATTTCTGTATGGAGAGATCAAGTTGAGAAGACAGAGATCAAACCACAGTTTTGTGAATATTTTGGTCAATGTGATGAGTTCTGTAATTCAAAAACATTTTTTTTTCAGACACAAAATATTATCACTGCTTTTCTCAGTAAACAAACTGTGTCATCCTGCAGGTTACTGATAACTATGAGCCAATAATCACATTATGCCGGTGGTCTTGGATATTAAAGAACTGAAGGTTAAAATGTCTCTGACTACATGTTGGGCCAAAAGAATGTAAGGTGGACCAAATTTATCCTTTTGTCAAGCAGTACAGTAGTCTCCCCTTATCTGTGGGGGTATATCCCAAGACCCCTAGTGGATGTGAGATTAACAATAACTATTAGTAAAATAGAATAAACATAACAAAATACTGTAATAAAAATTGGGTGAATGTGGTTTCCCTTGAAGGAGTGAAGATGAGTATTAATATTTTGGATCACTGTTGACTCTGGGTAATGGTAACCACAGAACACAGATCTTCAGATAAGGGAGGACAATTGTATAAATGATGTATCCTCAGGGGTTGAATGAACTGGAAAAAAAAAAGTTTGTGGCCAATGGACATCTTTCCTGACACCCTGTTTTGTGGTCTCTGTCCACTACTATGGGTGGTGGTGCCATTAGGACAGAGCCCGTGCATTCTATTCTCAGTGCCCTTGATAGGAGGTATTGGATGTCACAAGATTTGTGTACTAGCTATTATGAATGCAAAAGCAATGTGCACACTTATGGTTACCATAGCCTGGGATATTATAGGTTCTAGCCCAATAATTGTTTTAGCTGAATTATGGTGACATTTTGTAG